TGAGGAGGGGAGGGGTGGAGAGCATGGGAGAGTTGGGGTGGGAGACGGGGAGGAATGGTGTCGGGAAGGGGGATGTCAAGGCAATGGGAGTGAAGACCAGCAAGAAGAAGGGATCGGGACATGAGGACGCTTAAAGAAGAGCGGCAGGGAGAACGTGGAAGAGGGGGGAACCACAATAGGCAGAGACTCAGTTGGCTTGCTGTGATGGAAACACTTTCAAGCAACAACACGTACCACAATGACGAAGTTGTCTCTTAGGGACTCCTCTTCCAGCTCGTCGAAGTAGTACTTGAACACCTGTGACGAAAGAAAATACACATGAAGATTCGTAAGCATCATTTCTACCTACCGCCATCCGTCACAGACTTGCGGTCACAACCCTTCTGTATCAATAACGGAAATATTTGTCGTTGATACTAAACACCGCAGTGGATTTGCTCGCAGCTTCCCAGAAACTGATCAGAAAATTCACACAGCCCGAACACGTCAAGCTATGCCAATTCCCATGCTGTTGGCTGCATGCAACCCAAAGATCGATTTCATGCGACTCAATCATCAGGTGCACGAGAACCAGTCATCAGATGCATGTAACTCTAGTCAGACACATGCGACTAAATCGTCAGACGCATGCGATTCGCATCAGCCGTAAGCGATCCAATCATGAGTTACGCGCGAAATATGCGATGAAACCACGAGGTACATATGACCCACCGCAAAGCATACATGAGCCATCATAAGGGACATCCAAACCATCGCAAAGCACACATCAGCCATCAGCAGGCGCATCCGAGCCATGCCCAGGCACACACGAGCCATCATCATTGACATCCGAACCAACACCAGGCATACATGAGCAATTACCGGCACATCCGACCCAACTCAAACCAATCTCTACGACCCACTCACCTCCACGGCTTTGTGAAGGAAGAGCAGTAGGCTGGCCGCGTTGGCGTTTTGCCGGGTGGCGATCATGAGGTACACGTTGTTGTGCTGAATGAAGAGGTACGTCACTCCGTTGTCCAAAATCACTGGCTCTCGCGAGGACGGGTCAGCCTGACGCGACAAGGAGAGCGCGAGCGTGTGAGGATTCGGAACCATCGGTTACGAGGAATCAATGGATAGAGCGTGAAATGACGCAGAGCGGATGTCAACTGGTGAGACGGCAAGCAGAAGCGACCAAACGGTCAGATTTGATTACACACACTGACACTGACGGTGAAATCCAAACAGCATGCTTCCACGACCAGCCAATGTCGCCAGAATAACATGCGGACTACGATCCTAAAATGCATTCCTGGATTCTCTGTTGGAAAATGAGAGCTTGCACGACGCTGCAAACATACACCGAGAGTCCGCCTAAACTTCAGGCATTCTTATGATGTAATGATCCACATCAGGACATGAATATGGTTTGACTTCAATCCTCATCGCGTACCTCGCCTTCCATCAGCTTGTTGAAGAATTTCTCTGCAGCGGATGCAGGAACATCGCCACGGTAATCCCTCCATATCAGGACCCTCCCCTTCATGTCCAGGATGTACACCGCTGACGCCGCGCCCGACATGGCGCCTGCTTCTGTGAAACCTAAGGGAAAATTGGAAAGTAAGGGCAAAGCGAGAATAAGGCCAGATAGTAAGGAGCCTGGTCGAGTCGACGCGAATGGGGGAAAAGAGTCAGAACATTGCTTAATGTGGCTTAGGCAGCTGATGCGACAGTCGCGATGCCTATCGTAACCACAGACCGTTGCGACTTACAAAAATCGACGGTTTTTGCAGCAGTTTAACCCGTATTGAAGCACCAGCGAATGATCTAGAACTAAAATAGTGACCGAGGAACTAGATCTAGGTTGACCAGGAACCCTAAGAAGCTCAAGCTAAGGCCTTGTTTTTCGTAACGACACGCAAGAGGGATGATCCGTCACAACATCCCAGATGTCTGGCTGCAAGAACAGAGTGGGAAACGATTACTACAGGTACGACCTTTCACTGCTAATGGATTAGGGTATCAACTTGCTCCTGAGCCATGGCCAGGCTTCAGGAGGACGAGATCGAGGTAACTGATCCAGAAAATAGGCCAACGGATCAGAAATTCCTTAGAAAATAGGAAAACAACTTGATTGAGCGTCCTAGGGATTGCCTGAATCCTGATCCCCGATGAAATGAGTGTTGCTGCGAGCTCTCTCCTAGAAATTACAGCAGGGAAGGTATGGCTGATGATTCCAAGCCTCCCCTCCTGGAGAAATGCCCACCCACAGATTTCTCGTCTGAGCAACCTACCTGCCTCGATTCACCCACCTTGATTCTCCGATCCAGAGAAAGTCCAAGAGATGGCATTTTCGGCTTTGGCGATGGACCGCTTGGCGAAGTGCGGCGATCCCAGGGGTCTCGTGGTTTGCCTAGCACAAAGAAAGCCAGTAACCATAACGGCTATCTCATGCGTTTTCGCTACTGGTGGAGGAACGAGATGGTGGGAAAATGGACATTTCGGTGGCAGAAGGGCCAATCCCTAGAAACGGCCGGATGCCAAACGAGTGTCGCATAATCGCATTATATCGGGTCCAATGGAATACAGTAAATCCTAGTTACAGCAGCTACACTCCGCACTGGTTTCATTTCAGCCACCAATCCCATCCAATTCCATTCGACCGAGAAGATGTGCCAATCCCTGTCAAACCCATCTCGCCATGTGCCAAAGTCGAATCGCGTAATTTTGGGCTTCCCGCGTCTCCATCACCGAGTGGTGTCAAATGCGGTGCGGTGGGATATGATGGGACAGTAAGCGGATGCGATGGGATGGTATGGGCTGAAAAGGCGTGGGATGGGGTGATATGGGATTGATTACATCTGCGTATCACTCGAATTTTCATCCCACGTATGAACCTTGGAGGTTTGCTTGCCACTGCCATTTCAAGCTCCCCCCCAACCTTGGTCTGCGATGGCTGAACCTTATTATTCTCCCCTTCCCGTTGCCTGGGCTTTCTCTATTCGATACAATCTATGCCGTGCACAGGACTCCGCTGTGTCCTCCTCCTCGCAACACTCGAGGTTGGGATCTTGAAATCTTTGATGTTGTATGTTCATCGCTTACACGCCGATTAGTTGTAGGCTTCTCTTGCTCCTCCATTTGTCACTGTCGTGAAAAGCTACCATGCCGCCAGCTGTCGCCTTCCTGCCTGCCTGGAATCACGACCTGGAACGCTTGCCACCCGATTAAAAAAAGCACTATCGCCGGTCTTGAATTCCGGTAGTGATGCCTCGTCAACTTCTAGATTACAACTTCTCATAAGAACGACTCAATTGGTTTTCCAGGAACTTTTCGTTCGTTGGAATGACCACTGGTAGTGCAACAACCATGGCGATCGAAGCCTGTCTGGAAATGCCTGATGAGACGCAGACAGGCGAAGGATTGGTTGAAAGCGAATGGAGTGCGAGGTGCGGGGATTAGTTATATCAGTACAAACCGGCTCAATCCGTTACAATCGATCACGTGCCAACAAAGCCGCTGTAATCAATGCGGCACTCTTCGCGGCGGCCGATTTCGCCAGCTTGTGTCCGCAGCGGCTTGGACGAACTAGCGATCTGTTCGCTTTTGCGGCTCGACGGGGATCGCATCAATGGCTGGAAACCACGCATCCAGACTGTTAATAGCAATCAGCAGCGAAATCAATCGCGCGTGCGGATTCCTGATCGGAGTGCTTCGCCGCTCTTTGTAAAGGCCTACTCGTTTATAAGGAAGGGCCCAGGGTGAGTGATGGTCATCAGGGCTATCGTGAGTATTAGTCATTGCGATCCGAGCTTTGATACTGGGCTGAGCTACTCTAGGGTGTTACGTGGAGAACTCAAAAGGCCTTAGAGTCTGCCGCTGCTGCTGTCTAACGTTAAGAACGCCTCGTAGCAGAAGGATATAAAAAGAGTCTTCTCATCTTAGCTGTCAGAGAAGAGGCGCCTCTCTTGCCCAGTTCGTGCTGACCGTTACTCCCTGAAGCGATTCTCACCAAAAGCTCGCAGCGACCGTGACCGGGACGCAAGCGGAGAAAGCGTGTCTGATGGCGCACACACGGATCCCGGTCCCTTTCCATCAGCCGCTGCTGGTGTTTCTGTGCTGCCTCGTTATTATCAGCTTCACTGGTACGTCATTGTCGTCTCATGGGGAAATAGTTTGAGCTTGTATGCTTCTGCCTGTCTGTCTGTGCATGTCTGACTCAACACACGAACGACCTCCTTCAGACTGTTTTTTTTACCCGACCTCTATCTACTGCAGTGACCCCTTCCTGCGTCCAATCCCCTACACCCCCCTCACATTTCTCAGCAACACCCTCTTAACAATTCACCATCCTTGTTTGTTGACTCCCCTCGTCTCTCGCTCTCAACCACTTCCCCAACTCCTTCATCCACAGGAATACTCGCAACAGCAGCGCCACCGCCACCACCAGCATCAGCAGCATCGCTTGCATCGCGAGCATCAGCAGCCTCAGCGGCATCAGCAGCTTCTGCAGCGTCGGCAGCATCGGCAGCAGCACGGGCGGCAGCGCCCCGTGCTCCACCTGGTCAGGTGTCTCCGGCATCTGCCGCCCGCCAGGCCGCCACGTCATCATCGCGTTCGCCGTTGCCACTTGCTTCCCCACAAGCGAAGCAGCAACCACTAGTAACACCTGCCCCTGTAACACCTAGACTCCCTGTTACATCCACAACACCTGTTACCCCTAGAGCACCTGTAACACCGGCCACTGTTACGCCTGCCCCAGTTACGCCTAGAACACCTTTAACACCAGCGGCGCCTGTTATAGCAGAAATTGGTGCAGCAGCACGAAGCACTGCAACACCAAGAGCTTCTGTTACGGCAGGAACTCTGGTTACACCTACAGCAGGGCCTCTGGTTACACCTACAGCAGGGCCTCTGGTTACACCTACAGCAGGGCCTCTGGTTACACCTACAGCAGGGCCTCCGGTTACACCTGCGGTTCCTGCTACAACCGGGCCTCTGTCTACACCTGCAGTCAGTCAGCCAGTGAGCAGCCAAGGGGTGAGGAGCACAGTGTCTCTACGAGGGACAATGCCAGCAGCCGTGCCTGCTACCGTGCCTGCAGCCGTGCCTGCAACCGTGCCAGCAGCCGTGCCTGCAACCGTGCCTGCAGCTGTGCCTGCAACCGTGCCTGCAACCGTACCTGCAGCCGTGCCTGCAACCGTACCTGCCACCGTGCCTGCAACCCTACGTGCCACCGTGCCTGCAACCGTGCCTGCAACCGTGCCTGCAACCGTGCCAGCAACCGTGCCTGCAGCCGTACCTGCAACCGTACCTGCCACCGTGCCTGCAATCGTACCTGCCACCGTGCCTGCGACCGTGCCTGCAACCGTGCCTGCAACTGTGCCAGCAACCGTGCCTGCAGCCGTACCTGCAACCGTACCTGCAACCGTGCCTGCAATCGTACCTGCAGCAGTGGCCACTGCAGTCCCTGCATCAGCGCTTGGAACAGTGCCTGCCACCGTGCCTGCATCTGCAGCAGGGGCGAGGGCAGCGGGTGTGTCAGGGCCCTCTGCTGCCAGTAGCATGACTCTAGGGGCCCGCCCTTCGCCTGCTTCTGCAGTGCCTGTCTCAACGCCTGGAGCAGTGGCTGCATCTGCAGAAGGGGCGAGGGCGGGTGTGTCAAGCCCCTCGGCTACCAGTAGCACAGCCCTAGGGACCCGCCCCCCTTCTGCTGCTGTATCTGCCTCAACACCCACTAGGGCCAACCCCCATGCTGCTGCTGTGCCTGTCTCAACACCCATTAGGGCCAACCCCCATGCTGCTGCTGTGCCTGTCTCAACACCCACTCAGGGCCGCCCTTCCTCTGCTGCTGTGCCTGTCTCGACGCCTGCAAGGAGCCTCCCTTTGGCTGTTGCTACTATGCCTATCTCAACACCCACTAGGGCCCGCCCTGCAGCCATGCCTGTCTCGACGCCTGTAAGGGGACTCCCTTCCACTGCTGCTGCTGTGCCTGCATCAACATCCACTAGGGCCCGCCCTGCTGCCACGGGCGATTCGCCAGTTGTCCTCCCTGCGACAACGACTACTCGCAACCTCCCCACCCAAGTGCCCTCCCAGTTACCCTCCCCACCAACTGCCGCTAGCAGCAGCAGCAGCAGCAGCGGCGGCGGCAGTGGGGAAGGAGGAGGGGGGCTGGGGGGGATGATGGGTTTTCTGGGCCCTTTGACGTCCACTTTCTCAAGGATGTTTGATGTGAATTGGCTCACAGGCACATTCTTTTCTATTGGCTCTTGGTTCTCCTCCCTGGTGCGTGGGCAGCAGTAGAGAGGAGTGGCACGAGTGGTGAATTGAGACAGTATGGAGGCTGGTGACGTGAATTGGCTCACAGGCACGTTCTTTGTTATTGCCTCTTGGTTCTCCCTGGTGCATGGGCAGTAGCAGTGAGGGGTCATAGGCTGGATTCATTGACTCTAGGTGATGATGTGACATGATGTACGGTATGTAAAATGTTCTAGTAGAGTAGTGTTATTATGTCCAAGGCAACCATATGATACATGCATGGTAATAGTAATACTGCCACGCCTTCTATGGTAGAACATACAGTAAGGATACTGGTAGGAACGTACACAAGAATATCATACATACAGGTTGTGTTTGGTTCCCGCCATATCTCCACGGCTCTTCAGGATACCAGATCGGCGCAACAAGCGGTAGCCTATACAAATCTGAACAGGAAGCTATGGAAGACATTAGGCAGAACTTAATAGTCAAATCATAATGGTGGTTTGCCTGACAGTCCAGGGTGAGGGATTGTCATGGCATCCACCGGGGGGGAATTTGCATGCATGACATAGCACACACAGCTGAGGCTGAAATAAATACACTTTAATAAATACCATGGCACGCCAAAAGGGAAGAAGCATGTGTCAACAGGACCTTGCTAACTACCGTAGGCCCATTCTATCAAGCTACAACTGCTGTAATGCGTCTCTGTGTGGAGGGGTGCTTACGCTGCGCAGCCAAGACAACGATAGGCAAGACGGGGCGAAGACAGACGTTAAATCCCAGGAACATTATACGCATTTAAGGACAAAGTGAAGGCAGCTGCTACGTGCATGGAATGGGAACCAAATGGACAAAATCAGAACATACCAGTAGGCTCCCACAGGATGGTGGTCTCTGCAATCTTGCCCGTGACAATGTATGGGTCCATGTTAGACGATGGCCGCCTGTCCTCGAAGTAACCTGGAAAGGTGTCAGATGACCAGAGACATTTTGTAAAGCGTGGTTCTTAGCATGTTTCAGGAGTTTGTTGCTTTTGATCCACGAGATAAAAAAACAAGAGTTACGTGCTCAGAAATGCGCTCACAATAGAGCGCGAATGCAAGGAGAAATTCGACTCACCCTTCTTCTGCGCCTCTGTGTCGCGACCCACACGGACCGAGCAGCCACGGTTGGCCACACCCTGGAGTAAAAGTGGGGCAGGGGGGGGGAAGAAAGGAAGGGAAGAAGAGACAGAGAAGGATCACGAAGTAAGCAGACAGAATTGGCTCGTTCATTCCAACTGCTACAGCGTGCTCTCATCATGCTACCGACATACGCTAAGGAAAAAGAAAGGAAAAATAAAGTCGCGTACCCAGGAGAAGGTGTTCATGTCGGCCGTCTCGTGCTTGCCCGTGAGGCGGCGCTCGTTGCCCTCGCCGTACGCCGCGATATGCTCCTTGTGCTTCAGCCCCAGCTTCTCGATCGCCTTCACGATCAGATCGTACCCGCCCTCCTCGCGCATTGCCTTGGTGCTGCACGGGAGAACCCCAACACACGATCACAACGAAACGATTGAACAACCTCGCTTTCAAAAGATTTGCTAGAAACCGGCAGAGAAAGGGAGAGCTGTCTTGGAAAGGGGGAAAGAAAAGGGTTCGTAGCTTTAGACTAGCAGCAAACCGACCTGTAGTTGGTATGGCAGCCGGCGCCATTCCAGTCGCCCTCGATCGGCTTGGGATCCAGCGAAAGCACCACGTCTGCCATCTCCGTCACTCTCTCCAACAAATACCGCGCCATCCACAGGTGATCGCCCGCCTCGATACCCGTGCAGGGGCCCACCTGGAACTCCCACTGGCCCGGCATCACCTCCGCGTTAATGCCGCTGATGTTAATCCCCGCGTACAGGCACGCCTTGTAATGCGCGTCGACAATGTCGCGACCCCACGCCTTGTCCGCGCCCGTGCCGCAGTAGTACGGCCCTTGCGGAGCGGGGTAGCCGCCGGTGGGCCAGCCGAGGGGCCACTTGACGTCCTTCTTGAGGAGAGTGTATTCCTGCTCCAAGCCGAACCTGCGATGGTGGTTCCGGGACGCCGAGGCAGGGTTGGGCACGGGGGAATGGGACATAAAAAAACGAATTGACATAACGTGAATGCGAGAGGCATGTGAATCAACAGGAAAAGGCACGGGAGGCACGTGAAAAGACAGGCATCGTGGAAAAGGCAGCCCTATATATTCCAGGGCTTAGAGGTAATGTAAGTAAGCACGCTTGTTGGGAAGACGAGACGTACCAGGGCTCGTGGTCCTTGACTTTCTCGAACACAGAAGCTGCGAAGGCGCGCTTGTTGCTGGGAATGGGCTCGCCTTGCGGAGTGTAACAATCGCACATGACCTGGTAGTAACGACAGGAAAAGCAACAGCGAAAAGAGGGTATGTTAAATGATTGTACTACTACACGATTCCACTTAAGAAGCTTAAGAAAATGCGTTCAAGAAAATGCGTTCAAGAAAATGCGTGGAGACGCTTAAGAAAATGCGTTCAAGAAAACCAAGCGATTGTGACGGCGTGGCTGTTCGCATGCACAGCGTGTACAGCGCAAGCGATTGGTACAAGCGGTCGCTAGTAACGAGCGTGTGTCAGGCCCACGCGATCAATATGTGAGCGCTCGCGTCAAAGCCTACTCATATAGCTTCTCACCAGAATGTTGTCGCCGCCACGGAAGGGATCCTTGAACACGGCTTGAGGGCTGCCAAAAGGTATCACATGAGCACCAAAACCAGATAGATAGTCATGTCGGAATTTTGCATACGTGCCGGAAGGGCAGCATGAATGAGGGATGGTTTAATATTAGCCGATGTATGCCAAAGAAACGGGAGGCCCCTGTAATGAAAGGCGCCTGTAACAGGAGGCGGGACTCACTAGAGGATCACTTCGCTGTCTGTGCCCGGAGCCTGTCCCGTGCTGGAACCATCAAAGTTCCACTTGGGAAGCTTCGCGACGTCGCCGGGACCAATGGGACCCTTCACAGTCTGCACGAAGAAACGAAAACGGAATTCGGATGAAATGAAACGAGCTGACCCTTTTTGAAAGCTGATTAGTTTGAGCAACTTGAATGGGCAATAAGATGCTGAACTTCGCGGAGAAGCTTACCCTGGCCTTGCTTCTGACATCAATTCCCGATCCTCCAATCCTGCGGGAAAAAAGATCGAGAACGTTCAACGAGTGTCAGATAAAGAAGGCAAACGCTTACATTGGTTTGAGAATTCTCAAGCGTTTGCCTAGGCTCACCAGACGTATTCCGCGATGACTTCGCCAGTTGTGATGGGAATGTTCTTAAGTTGATCAATAGTGGAAGCCATGGCGATGAAACGATTGAAGCGGAGTCAAGCAAGTGAACAGAGAGGCCGAACGAGAAGAACGACGAAGCTGAATTCGAAAAACAGGTTTACTAGTGGTGAAAATCTGAACCGTTTCTAAGAATGACTGACGATAAGAAAGGCGCAGCGAAATAAATACGACTGGATTTTTTCAGGGAGTTCCCAGGTATGAATTCCCCAGAGATTTCCGCCACGAAAATATCGTGGGATTGGGTAGTCGAGTCGCCCCGAGCGGAGCGCAAACTGGAAGAGGGGAGAGCCAGAAAGCTAAGCGCGCGGATGGGGAGGCAGACATTCATGCTGCGGAAGTCTTCGTCGGGAACTAGCGCAACAGAAAAGGCGGGTCTTCGGAAAAAGTGCATGGACCGCACGGAGGGGACAGATGTTACGGCGGTAGGCTGCTCGCCAAACCTGGCGTCATACAGCTTAGGTGGAGTAACACTATTGGATTATATTCCACGTGGGTAACTTTAATTGCTTCCAATTCCCAAGGTTGCACAGGAATGTAGTCTCTGCACTTCCTGCTGGCAGTGGTGGCGCATTCCCATAAGGCGCGCGGCGGCGACATAAAATGCCTCGCTGGAATGCAAGTTCCTGATGAACGCGGTTCATGCGACTCACTGTAGCTGTAGCAATCGAGATCTATATGCAAGTGACAGAGTCACACAGGTGCAATAGAAAAGCAAGGCACTACACTTTCAAAGGTGAAAAAAAAAAAAGCGACATACATGAGACAAGCTGGAAAACAAATCTTCAGAAGCCTCAGATGTGGGGAAAACATGGAAATGCAAATCCAATCAAATGGAAGGTAGCATCTACATGGCATGGTGTGCGCCTGACGCAGCTTCAAAATTAGTGTTTAACTGCACCATAGTATGATTCAGCAACTGGAGCTTCAAAAACAAGATTTAGGAGTGAAAGCATCTCACTGCATATTTCAATTTGGCAGAGCTCGACTGGAGCTCCAATAGCAAGAGTGTGGAGGAATGTAAGCAACACACTCCTAACTTGATATGGCCAAATAAGGAAGTCGACACCACCCTCATTTCGCATAAGGTTTGTCAATCCCTGTTCCACACAAGATGCCATGCCACATACATTTCCAATTTCGATTAGTACAGTGGAGAGACTTCACCTTTAGCGGTTGCAAGTGGATGCAACTCACACCCGATGCACACCGAGTCATGGCACTTGACTGATACAACACAGATTAGACCGTAACAAAGTATAACATGCTTGGGACACACAAACAAGTATTTGATGAGTCCGTATAACATACTCTCACCAGTATTTGATGAGTCTGTCCCAGCCGCACGTGGCCACCTTGCTGGTTTCAAGCAAGTGCCACTTGCACTCGATGCACACCGAGTCGTGGCACTTGACTGTAGCAACAGACATATCCTACAGTAACAAAGGTCACACACTTTTGACCAATCACTGACCAGTATTTGATGAGCCCATCCCAGCCGCACGTGGCCACCTTGCTGGTCTCCAGGGGGTGCCATTCACACCCGATGCACACCGAGTCGTGGCACTTGACTGTGCGGAACACCTTGCATGTCTTCCAGTCCCAAAACCACAGCTTGCCCTCTCCGTCCCCTGACATTATGAACCGGCCATCCGGGGAAAAGTTCACCTGGTGGTGTGGGGGAAAATGGGAGGCGAGCACCAACAGGAGAACGGGGGAGGGAAGGGGATGGGGGAGGGAGGGGCAAGGGCGTAGGTGTTGGTGTTCCTGAAAACCATTGGTGGCGCTGCTGACAGGCATAAGAGCCACTCGCACCCGATGCACACCGAGTCGTGGCACTTGACTGTGCAGAACACCTTGCATGTCTTCCAGTCCAAAAACCACAGCTTGCCCTCTCCGTCGCCCGACATGATGAACCGGCCGTCCGGGGAGAAGTTCACCTGGTGGCGTGTGGGGGTGCGGTGGGGGGGTTGGGGTTAGGGTGGGTGGGGTTGTGCATGGAAGGAATGAGCCATTCAGAACCACAGCTTGCCCTCTCCGTCGCCCGACATTATGAACCGGCTGTCCGGAGAGAAGTTCACCTGGTGGCGTGTGGGGGTGCGGTGGGGGGGTTGGGGTTAGGGTGGGTGTGGGTGCGGCGCTCAGAGGTGACTTTTCTGTGGGTGGTTCTGACTCAAAAGTCACTTTGTGGGTGCGGCGCTCAGAACCACAGCTTGCCCTCTCCATCCCCCGACGTTATGAACCGGCTGTCGCGAGAGAAATTCACCAGGTGGCGTGTGAGAGAGTGGGGGTAACAGGTGGGGGTTGAATGGAAGAAAGTGACAAATAACCACACAAAGCCACAGCTTGCCGTCGCCGTCGCCCGACATTATGAATCGAGCATCTGGAGAAAACTTTTGAGGCGCCTCAAAAGACATTATGAATCGAGCATCTGGAGAAAAGCTGACCTGGTCACGGGGGGGTGAGGATGCACCAAACCAAACAAGCCATCATTGCTCCACCAGCCTGCCCCCACGAGCCGGCCCCCACGAGCCGGCCCCCACGAGCCTGCCCCCACGAGCCTGCCCCCACGAGCCTGCCCCCACGAGCCTGCCCCCACGAGCCGGCCCCCACAACCCACCTGGCATGCATATCCTGTAATGCTGTGGCCTGCAAACCGCCTCTTGCAGTTCAGCCGGAACCGGTCCTTAGCACCATGTACAATGATCGAGCTGTCCAAGCATTGAGCTTCCACTGTCCCCAAGCCTATCCCCCTATGAATCTTCCTCCAATGCCTGTCCCCCCAATGCCCGCTCTACTCTACCCACCTGGCAGGCGTATCCCCCAATGATGTGGCCTGCGAACCCGCTTCTTCCTGTTCAGCCGGAACCGGTCCTTAGCACCATACACAATGATTTGGTTGTCCAGGGATTGAGCTGCCTGCCAGCCCACCCCATCGCCCCCTATGTCTGTGTCCCCCCGAGCCCTATACCAGAGCCCTGCAAGGCCCCCTCCCCACCTGGCCAATCTCCTCTTCACACCACCCACCTGGCAGGCGTATCCTGCAATGATGTGGCCTGCGAAACGCTTCTTCCTGTTGAGCCGGAACCGGTCCTTAGCACCGTATACGATGATCTGGTTGTCCAGGGATTGAGCTGCCACCCACGCCTTGTTGGGATGCACTGCTATGGCTGGCATAGAGTGCATGTGCGGCTCACTGGTGTGGGGGGGAAGGGAGTAGAGAGGGAGAGGAAGGGGCGTGCAAGGGGGAAGGATGAAAAGACAGTCCTTGGCTTCACACATGCATGCTGCCACACATGCCTTGTTGGGATACTGCTATGGCTGGCATGGAGTGCATGTGTGGTTCGCTGGTGTGAGGGAGAGGGCAAGCAGAAGGGAAAGCAGAGAGGGGGATGAGAAGGATGGGCCTTTGGCTCTCCATATATGCTGCCACCCACGCCTCGTTGGGATGCACTGCTATGGCTGGCATGGAGTGCATGTGCGGCTCACTGGTGTAAGGGGGGGGGAGGGAGGAGGCAGAGGAGCGAGCAGAGGGAAATCAGCGGGGAAAAAGGAAATGACTTCTGAGTCGCAACAGCAGATTTTTGAGTCGCAACAGCAGACTTTTGAGTCGCAACAGCAGACTTTTGAGTCGACTCAAAAGGAGGGACAGGGGACGACAGGGGCGGGTTGGCTTTTGAGTCGACTCAAAAGGAGCGAGCAGAGGGAAATCAGATGGAAGAAAAAGGGAAAGAGAGGTGCGGTGGAATGAGAAGGGATGAGAAGCGGGAAAACAGGATCTGGACGGGCAACAAGGAAAGCAGAGGAGCAGAGAAGGTTGTCTGATATACTTGACGACAAGAGGAGGTGACTTTTGAGTCGACTCAAAAGGCAACAAGGAAAGCAGAGGAGCAGAGAAGGTTATCTGAAATACTTGACGACAAGAGGAATCCCACGTGCATTTTGAGGCGCCTCAAAATGCACCTCACTAAACGAGGAAAGCAGTGCAGAGAAGGTTATCTGAAATACTTGACGACAAGAGGAATCCCACATCCCACACACGCAGGGGCTTGTCAGAATGACATTGAAGTTGATTCAAAAGAGGGGACAAAGCGAAGAGCAGAGCAGGGCAGAGAAGAAAGGAAGTAGTGTATTGCTTACCTGATATACTTGACGACAACGGGAATACCAAACTCCCACACGCGCAACGATTTGTCGTCGCTGCTCGTTACAAACCGCCTGTTGTCATCCAGAAACGTAATCGTATTGACTGCACCCAAATGTTGGTCATATTCCTGGGTAATTTCCCCTGACCGCGTGTCCCACTGCATGATCTTCTTGTCGCTCATCCCCGCCAGCAGAATGTTCTGCTTGTCGTCGTCGGGGTGTAATTTCACCACGTAGGGTATTTTACCCGTGGAAAACGTCCCCGTGACCTGCCCGGTCTCGGTGTCCCAGAGCTTGATGTTACGGTCGTAACCGCACGAGACGAATTTCAGCCCGTCGTTCGCAAAGCAAATGTCTCGAACCGCCTTGGAGTGACCCATGTAGGTGCGCATGCACTTCTGCGTGTTGGGCACGTCCCAGATCTTGATCTTGGTGTCCATTGATGCAGACAGCAGTAGATGGCCGTACCTGGTGGGACAGACAGAGGAGGAAGCGAAGGGAAGAGAAGGGAAGAGTGGGGAAGAGAGGGGAAGAGTGGAGAAGAGGGGGGAGAAGAGGACAAGAGGGGGGAAGAGAGAAAAAAAAGGGGAGAGTGAGGAGAAGAGGCGAAGAGAGGAGGAGAAAATGTCTCGAACGGCCTTGGAGTGACCCATGTAGGTGCACATGCACTTCTGCATGTTGGGCACGTCCCAGATCTTGATCTTGGTGTCCATTGATGCAGACAGCAGTAGATGGCCGTACCTGGTGGGACAGAGGAGGAAGAGAGGGGAGAATACGGAGGGGAAGAGAGAAAAAAGGGGAGAGAGGGGAGAAGAGCGGGGGGAGAGGAGAGGGAAAAGGGGAGAGTAATGAGAAGAGGCAAGGAGAGGAGGAGCAAAGGTCGCGCACGGCATGGCCTTGGAGTGACCCATGTAGGTGCGAATGCACTTCTGCATGTTGGGCACGTCCCAGATCTTGATCTTGGTGTCCATTGATGCAGACAGCAGCAGATGGCCGTACTTAGGGAAGAACCGGATGGCAATGACACCCTTGGTATGCCCGCTCCACGTGTGAATCCGCCTGAAAGGCGCCTTTGGGTTACAGAACTCACTTCAAGTCCGGAATGTTTTGAGACGTCTCAAAACACTCCTTCTTTCACGTGGATCCGCCTGAAAGGCGTCTTCGGGTTACAGAACTCACTTCAAGTCCGGAACCTCAGCACCTATGATACTCACTTGGGGAAGAACCGGATAGCACTGACGCCCTTAGTATGCCCGCTCCACGTGTGAATCCACCGCTTCGGAATATAGCAATGCGTGGGCGGCACGGGATTAAGGGCGTCTTTAGGCGGTGCAATCCACGAGCGACCCTGATAGTCCTTCTCCTGCTTCCCATGGAACGTGCTCTTTTCTTCCACCTCCTCCTTGTCTCCTCTCTCCTTCTTGGCTTTTTTCAAAGCGTGCTCCTCCGCGTATTTTTTTTGCTCCTCGGTCAGCTCAGCCTTGGGTTCCTCTTTTTTGCCTGCCCAGGGGGATTTGGAGCTTTTGAGGAGCCATGATTCTGACGCCGGATTGGCTAGTTCCGCTTCTGGAGCCTCCTCTTCCTCCTCCTCCTCTTCTTCACTCTCTTCTTCCTCCTCCTCCTCTTCTTCGCTCTCTTCCTCCTCTTCCTCCTCCTCACTCTCCTCTTCTTCCTCTTCTGCCTCCTCCTCTTCTCTCTCCTCCTCCCTGCTCTTCTTTGCCCTTTCCTCACCCTCCTCCTCTTTAACACCCTTCCCTTGCCGCCCTCGCTTCTTCCCCTCCCCTTCCCCCTCCCCCTCCCCCTCTCCTCCTGCTCCCTCCTCCCCTTCCGCTCCCACCTCCGCCCCCACATCACCTTCCCCCTTCCGCTTCTTCTTTGCAGCCTTTCTCGCTTTCTCTTCCTCCTTCTTCCTCTTCCTCTCTTCCTTCTTCGCTCTCTCCTCCTCCTTCCTCCTCTTCTTCTCTTCCTTCCTCTTCCTCTCCTCCTCCTTCCTCTGCTTCTCCTCCGCCTTTTTCCTCCTCTCCTCCTCTTTCACCGCCATAGCCCGCTTTTCCCGCTCCTGTTTAGACACATTGTACACTGTAGCACCCGCCTTAGTGTCAACCGCTTCTTTATCACCCACGACCTCGGTCCCGTTTACACTTGCGGGGTCAACACTGTAGCCGTACGCCTGAAACGTGTGGTACTGTTCATCGAAGACAAAAGAGTCCACCGACGCGTCTTGGACGGATCCCAGCCGGTGGTTTCGCAACCCTAACGCGCGGCCGTCCGCGTTATGAGGATGCGCGGGTCCCACTACAGGAGTCCACAGTTGATCGTAAGTTGGATTAAATTGTAAATTCCGCTTCGACGGGTCGATGGGAGCTGTCATAATATCGCGTGGTACAGCAGCGAGTAAAGCGTCGCTCACTGGCGGAGCGGCCGAACTAGGGGGAGCGAGAAACCTGTACGCCATATTGTCATCGTCGCTATCGTTATCGTCGTTTTCCTGAGCAATTCGTGACGCTGACTTGCTTGCAGTAACCCCAGCAGAACCGGTTAGGGTTGCACCAGTATTGGTACCAAAAGCCTGCTTTTCCCGAGGCGGAGAAGCTGTTATCGTAGATTTCTCTCGCGGAGAATCCTCCCCTCCCTCCTCGTCACTCCCGTACTGACGCGATAGAATATCCATGGCTGAAATCGAGCAGGATTTTCAAACCTAAATTGCAAATCAAGCAGGACTTAAAATCCAGCTGCGCGGTTGAAACCTAATTTTGCACGAGAGAAGACACCAGTCCAGGCAAACACGTGCGAATAAATCAGCCACAAACGCTGACAACAATCAACTACCAGTAGCACCTGGTGTGCGCTAGGTTGGGTACAGCGGCCATGAATGAAGAAAAAGAATCGAAGCCAGCAAAAGAAAAGCGTGACCCAAAACTCATTCCCGAAATCTTCCCAATAAGCAGGTCTTGTATAGATTTGAGGTATACGCATTAGTGTAAGAGAAACAGCTCCATAAGTAGCACTATGACAAGTGCTGAATGCTCAGCAGCAACAAAAGCATTAGCCATGAAAAATATATGCAGACATACATAAAATATTCTAAACAAGAATTGAAAACAACGTTGGAGTTTTAGGTCATCATCATAACAATCGAAAATATACAGTGGGCTCAGACACCCATTTCCTTTCCTTTTTTTAGTTCTACCATAGGATGTTATTCAGCAACACCCGAAAAGCGTCTCGACGTCCCCCGAACCCCTCAACGCTCATCTTTCATTGCACCTCTACCCTCACAAACTCCTACGTCCACCCACCTCTTTCATTTCACAACAGGCAGTTGTCTGAGCCTCCTTGTTCGGCCATATAAACCATTCATCAGAACCGCTGTATTGATTACCCTGCCTAACATTCGATTCGTCTACCTAGCTTCCAACACTCCCACACACCCCTCCGGAGCGGTACTACTTTTCGTTGGCAGCTATGGCTGCTGGAATGTGCAGCCTTTCATCTGACATTGTAAGCTGGAAACGATGTTGAACAAGTCCACTGATACCATTAAACAGTCTATTAGAAATTGTGATGCGCCGTATTTTCCCCTGTCGCTCGGGTTTGTTTTGATTGGCGATGGGGGCCCCCATACGGCGGACACTGAGGCAGAGCGAATTTGAGTCGTTGGCCGAGGGTTTATCCTGCTGAAAGCCCGCGAATAATCGTTCCCCACATGCAGATGCCGATTGTGCTCACATTTAGGCCATGCTTTATCTTAAGCGTTTTCGTACACCAAAGCTTTCGTAACGGTGGCCCCTGATTTAATCTGCCATTTCTAACAGACCCACTCCTTTTTCCTGTTGGTGGCTGGAGCAGATGATGAAGCAACAAGTTTTGCATCTACCCTGCAATCGGTTACGAATCAGAAGCAAATGTTCAACGTGATTACCAAGAAAGCGCTTTCCCTCATTTGGTACGTATACGGGTACATTTGACTCGTTTCTAGAGACAGGAACTTTCATTGACGAGTCCCATTGTGCTGATTACTGGAGGAGGCGGTGATGATATCTATAGATCACAATCCTTATTGTCTGAGCGCAAAGCTGATGGCGGAATCTAAGGGTCTGAGCCTCCTCCCTGATTCATTACAGCATCGTCGTCGTTCTCTCCACGCCACGATTGTTTTTTTCTGAAGTTCACCTGTCACACCTCTGCCGGTCCACAGTGATGACTCGATATATACCCAGCTCGCTTCGAGCTGCTAAGCAGCGCTGAAGAAAATTATTCGTTTCCAACTCACGTAATTTTGTCTGAGTGGACCTCACCATCATTCTTTCTGTGACGTCCATTTACAAATGTTTGTCAGTGGTGGAGATCATGCAATATTCCATCCGCCCTTTGCTTACAAAAAAGGTTCGGTCACGTAATTGCAACAGAAATGTTTCGGTGGTGGCCGGGGCTTGCTAGCCCTGCCGATCGTTCGGTTGGGCCGGATCGTTCCCATTGGGGTTTGCTGCCCTCGTTTGGAGGAGGCGACGTGTTGTCGGCCACTCTCGACATTTGTTCTTTTTATCAATTAATCCGTCTTTTATTCCTGCCTTGGTTCGTGCAGATGGTGTTGCACCCTGATTCATGTGGGCGTTCGTGCTCCCGCGCAACGTCGGTTCTTCAACAGTGGAAGCATGCACGCTAAGTCAATGGCTATGACGGCACTGACGAGTCGTCGTTTCGGTGACTCACGGAAGAAGTTGACAGAGCTTTAAGGTGCGCTTCAGTGCTGATATTTTTTTCTCACTGCTCTGGGTGATTCTCAACCGTTCGAATTACTCGCAGCGATATGAGGAGATTCTTTTTCTCGCGTTGAGCCACTTTGTGGCCGTGATGCTTCAACTCATCTAACGTCTTCAAAGTTCTCTGATCGCTGCTTCTCTTCAACCTAAACTGTACACGCGGCCCTGATTCCATCGTTTATTTAAGCTTCAATAAAAGTTGGTCGCGAGTGTTTTCAGTCGCCTGTCGACCCGTTCCCTGAAGCGAGAACGGCGGGTCTTGGGGGGAGTCCGAAGGCCCTCTTAGGCGTAACCACCGCTCGTGGCTCGCTATCCTGCCGCAGCCCTTGTCTGCTGGCTGGACGATTGCTTACGGGACATGACCCTTACTGGTTCACGAATGTGGTTACCACCTTTCGTCTGGTGTATAATTTCTGTATCTTCCCTTGCCTTCTTTCCCTATTCATTGACAGACTCAAAATTATACTGGAACTGCGAATCATTATGAGCTTCCCAGATACGTCACGTCGTTGGCCTGGATCTGCGCTTGATTGCCGCTATTTACAAGGTGCGTCTCAATTTGTTCTATTGTTGTGGAAATTTTTATTTCCGTTGCCATGAACGATCTCCGATGCCCTCATTGAGGATATTGTGCTAAGGGATCCCCACGTGGCACACATTACTGCTGTACAAGCTGGCGAGGTTTAGCTGCTGGTCGGAGTGGATGCATCCCCAGTGGGTGTACCCTCGAGGATTCACTGGCTGACTACCTCTCTACAATCACCATTAGTTGCAGGCTCAGTTGTGATTGGTCACGTATCTGTGATTGGTACATGACTTAGACGTCCTCATCTCCTCTGGTTCTTGCTTGCAGGCTCTTGGCTCATGATGCGGGGTATGTGACTCTCAAGGCTTACCTGCTGTCTATCAGTGTGGTGTGGCGTCACGGGGTGGAATCTCTGCCTTGTCTATTCAAACAGGCGATAAACACATACATAACGAGCAATCCGCCAGTGTTGTATTAAAACGACATTTCAATGGAAGTTCAAATCCCTTGTGGACAGGTATTACAAGCTTGTTCTGCTTCTTGGTTGTATTGTACACTTCTGTGGAAATAAAAGATAAACAAGACAGGCACAAATAATTAAGATTCTTGGTGCAATACTGATCACATTGGACAAACACTCGTTTCAGAACGGCAGACAGAAATACAAGCAGAGAGAAAAGTGTTCCTGATCCTTACAGGACATGTGGTTGTGGTACGGTACAGCTTTCAGTACGAGAAAGAAGTATCAACTCCCAGCGGTACTGTCCTCCTCACCACTCGCCAGTGTTGAGAGCAACGTACCCCGCATGCACCCGCCCATTCGTGTCCCTCAAATTGTTAATCAGTCGGTTCCAGTTCGATCCTAGCGGCCCAACAAAGAAATCACACTCGGAAGCGATGAGCAGATTCGCAAAGCTGACCCCCACCAGCTGCTCCAGCCCCGCTGCTCTCTCATATTCTAGCATCTGGGTTGATCCGAGCTGGCGCTTGTTCTTACTGTACATGAAAGTCCAATCGCTGTAGCTGTCTAACTCGTCAATTACTGACTGTGAGGAGCAAGGGAGGGAGGGATGAGTGTGAGTGGAGGGAAGGGCAACAGATAGGGAAAACATCAGGATAGGGCAGGAGGGGGAACTGATGTAAGAAGAGAACAGCAGAGGGGCGGCTAGAAAGCTCATCCCCACCAGCTGCGCCCGCCCTCCTGTCTTCTCATACTCGAGCATCTGTGTGCATGGCTGAGACTTGAGTAGGATTTCCCCTCGGGTATGAGGAGACCCCCGAGGGGAAGTCTTTTGAGGCGCCTCAAAAGGATTTCCCCTCGAGTATGAGGAGACACCCGAGGGGAAGTCTTTTGAGGCGCCTCAAAAGGATTTCCCCTCGGGTATGAGGAGACACCCGAGGGGAAGTCCTAGAGGGTACACTCACCTGCATCTCAGTGCTGAGCCCCACATAATGAACATCCGGCACTCGGAGTCTCAGTCGTTGCACGTGCAGCATGTACGCCCTGAAACTGCTCATACCTGCGTGCACCTTTTTGTACCGCTCATCCACGCTCTCTCCCCCCTCACCTGCATCTCTGTGCTGAGCCACACATAATGAACGTCCGGCACCCTGAGTCTCAGCCGTTGCACGTGCAGTATGTACGCTCGGAACGAGCTTAGACGCATCTCCTTTTCCTTGTCCCCCTGCCTCACATGCACGCTCACCACCGGCCGTGGCATATACACCTCCCCGCCCACTCGCCTGTACACCTGCTCCTCCTCCTCCCCCTCTTCTCCCTCTTTATCATAACCCTCTTTTCCCCCAGCCTCGTTGTTATCGTCATCTTTAGGGGTGCAACCAGCGAACCCGATAGAAGGCCATGTGCTTGGAGCGAGGCTGCTTGTATCAAGGAAGGAGATGGACTGCAGAGAAGCTGCTTCCTCCGTGACATTGATAGCCATGCTGGCAACTGCTGCGGCTGACGTGGATCCTACTGTTGCTGATGTGGAGGCTACTGCTGTTGCTGTCGTGGATTCTGCTGCTGCTGCTTCTGCTGCCGCAGCTTCGCTCTGTGCGATTCCAGAATCATTCATTTTCGCTGCATTCGCATTACTATCACCAACAGCAGCAGCGGCAGCACCGAGAGAGTCAAGGATCCTCTTTTGAGCCGCTCTTGACTCCTCAATCCGCACTGCCACGTGGAGCCCATACGCCTGCTGCCGCACCCTGTTGCTGACGTGGCACAGGTACGCCGACGGCCACCTCAGCATGAAGCGAAGCGACTGTGCTCGCCACCAATGCACCTGAAGGTTTTGGGGAACGGGGGTGAAGGGGAGGACGGGGTAAAGGGTAGAAAGGGGTATGAGCAGCAGCAAGGGAACAGCCGCAGTATTACCATCACCATCACCAGCGCCAGTAGCAGCATCGGCATGAAATGAAGCGCAGCGGCCGCGCTCACCATCAATGCACCTGGCAATGGGGCCGGAAGGACGATAAGGGAGGGAGAAAAAGTGATGAGGAAAAAGGTTGGGAAGGGGTATCAGCTATGGTGGCAGCAGTGGTGGCAGCAATACCTGTCACTCCCATACCTGCCACTCCCGTGCCTGCCACTTCCGTACCTGCCACTCCCATACCTCCCACTCCCGTACCTGCTGCAGCCTCGGCACCGAGGCCTTCACGCGCCCCCTCACTTCAATGCTGTTGCGCCGCCTCAGGTACGCCGACCCCCACAACCTGCCAGGCAGAGGTTGACGTGGCAGATAGATGTTGACGTGGCAGGTGGTGATGACGTGGCGGGTGACGATATGGCATGTAGGGAGATGTTGCCCGTACATGTTTATGAGCACAGCGGGTGAAAAAACCTTTCTACCAAAACCAGTAACGTAAAACAGCAAGTAACGATGTTAAGCAGCTACTATGCATACCATACTGTATACAAATATATATACGAGCATTGTGTTAAGGAGCTACAGTAGATACCAGATACTGTACATATCTCACCTGGCAGCGCCAGCTTCGTATTTCAGGTGCAGGTAGTTCCCACAGAACCTCACGATGGGACGATCCGAACCCAATAAGGCCCGCACGTTGCTGTGATCCGCGCACGCCCCCTCCCACTCTCTTCCTTTTTCCCCATCCGCCCCATCCACTTTCCCTTCCGCTGCTTCCCCCTCTCCCTCTCCCATAGTTTGAACCCTACTCCCCACGCCGCCTCCAGCCTCCACTCCTCCCCCCATCGCCTCCCTCACTCGCTCCTCACAGCTCTTAGCAACCAAGGGGAAGAAATAGCAGTCAAACGAGTTTAAGTTCCCAGCCTCTAGACACTCGGAATGGTTGGCTCTTATGTAAGTGCCGGGCGTGGGAACGAGCGTGCGGTTGTGAGTCAGCGCAAGGCTTAAGTAAGCGCTCACGATGCTTAGCTGAGAGCCAATCCCGTGCTTCCTCTTCGGCCAATCCACGACGAAGAGCCGCCGCCCGGAGCAGGCTGACGTGGAGGCGACTGGGTTTGATTCAGACTGAAATGAAGATGCTGCAGCTGCTGAGGTGGCAGCTGATGAGGTGGCAGCTGATGAGGTGGCAGCTGATGAGGTGGCAGCTGCTGACTTGGCAGCTGAAGGTGATTCGTTTGGGAACTGGTGTCGCCAGATGTCGGCCTGTGCTTGGCGGGTCGCTGCCAGGTTGGCAGCATCTGAGCCCCGCACCTGAGAAAAACGAGGGTGACAATAACGGGAATGGGAATAACGAGGCGATGCTGGGGGTGAGCTGAGGGTGAGGGGGCGGAGAGAAGGAGGCGGAAAGAAGGCAAGTAGGGTACCTGGAATCCACCCACAGGGGCTGCCGGAACCGGCATCCGCCCCGTGCTCGGCCCAATACCCACCCACAGGGGCTGCCGGAACCGGCATCCGCCCCCTGCTCGCCCCAATACCCACCCACAGGGGCTGCCGGAACCGGCATCCGCCCCGTGCTCGCCCCAATACCCACCCACAGGGGCTGCCGGAACCGGCATCCGCCCCGTGCTCGCCCCAATACCCACCCACAGGGGCTGCCGGAACCGGCATCCGCCCCGTGCTCGCCCCAATACCCACCCACAGGGGCTGCCGGAACCGGCATCCGCCCCGTGCTCGCCCCAATACCCACCCACAGGGGCTGCCGGAACCGGCATCCGCCCCGTGCTCGCCCCAATACCCACCCACAGGGGCTGCCGGAACCGGCATCCGCCCCGTGCTCGCCCCAATACCCACCCACAGGGGCTTCCGGAACCGGCATCCGCCCCGTGCTCGCCCCAATACCCACCCACAGGGGCTGCCGGAACCCCCACCACCTTACTTTCCCCCGCCCCACGATTCTTCCTGCCTCTCCCCCGATTCCCCCTCCGCCCAATACCCACCCACGGGGGTTGCGGGTACCGGCACCTGCCCCGCGCGCGCGTCCACCGCGGCGGCTCCCCGTTGGGTCCGCGCATCTCTTTTGTACGGCGCTGTGCCGTGCGCGTCGCGCAGTCCTCAAGGTGCGGCGGGGGGGGAACGTTCGGGGGGAGGGCGATGCGCGACGGGGGAAGGACGGAGCCCGCTGCCAGACCGTAAGCGTCGGTCCATGCCTAGGGGAAATTGAGAAGGGGAAAAGAGGGAAGGGGGAAGGAGGAAAAGGGAGGGGCGGGAAGGGACGACCGGGTAGCTTAAACGAGGCGCATCGGGGGAAGGACGAAGCCCACCGCCAGACCGTAAGCGTCGGTCCACGCCTGGGGGAAAGGAGGAAGAGGGGGGAGGGGGAGGGGGGGGAGGGGCGACTGGGATATTGAAGAAGGCTCACTGGCCAAACTGTGAGCACCTGTCCATGCCTGTTTTAGCAGCGATGCGGGAGTGAAGGGCGAAATAATCCTGTTTTAGCAGTTACTAGTTTGGAGTGTGGTGAAGGCTAGATGATCACAAATTTGTAAACGTGTCTTTTGGGCCGATTCGAAAGTCGTCTCTTTGTTCTGTCACCTCCCTGAGAGTAACGTATCAGTCAACGGATTTGGCGTGTCGGCCGAAGAACGTTAAAATAAACTTGTTCAGTCCCGATACATTGCAAGAGCGAGCGAGAGCGTGTCACGTTGTACCCGATATAGAGCGAGCGCCCGCTCAAGGCTGATTCCGCCGCCCCGCCCGTCCCCCGCTTTATGCCGATGGCTCTGGAGTTGCGCCGAGTCGCCCCACAGTCTTATGCCACGTGGCGCCGCCACCGCTTTTTGCCAAAGATTCAGCGCCGAGAAGATAAAAAGGACTGCAAAGAATCTATGCCAAATCGTGTATCGCCAAAACGGTACATGATTCGCTGATGAAGCTTGGATCATGATGGCTCGCGACCTTCCCGCCAGAATCTCTGGCAACGAATACGATCACGGTCAATCACATTCACCAACCATCTCGTGTAAGATAACAGCGAGGTGGTTACCACGAGAAAACAGGAATTCGATGTGACTGGCGAGTTTCCACGAGCAAAAGAACAGGCATTCTGTTCCACTCCTACAAGTCCGAACCTGAACCATGCCACCTCCAGCCCTGCCCATGAATGTCTCGCGTCGCGTGTTTCAGTTTCTTTCGATTCTGTTTAGGGAAAAGGAATGTTGCGAAAGTAGTGACGAGATTGACGAACCGGAACACAAGCCTCACGAAAAAATTGACGAACTACAACGAGCGATTTTCTGTTACCTTAGTCCCGCCTAGTTCGTTCCGCCTGTCACACCTGTGGCTCCGCCTGCCACCACCAGCCCGCATCGCGTGCCTGACATTCTGTCACATTTCGCCCCCGAGTTTCGCAGCAACCAGAGCTTCTGGTTGCCCACACCATGACAGCTCTGCGCCAATAACGAAGCATACACTTTGGGGAATTCATAAGCGGCATAAATATCTTGTTTCTCGAATTAGCAAATGAAGTGAAGTGGAGGGATGGGTGGGAGACAGGCCTCTGGATAGGATTTGAGTTGGTCTTTCCCATAAGGCCAACATCCTAGTTTCACTCTTTCAATCAGGGTACAAATTCAGAACACACTTATAAATCAGGGTGGAACTTTAAATAAGTTGTCCATGATTTTTTTACAAGTTAGTTAACTCGTGTTATGGTGTCCAGTTGTGTAGGAGTGATAATTTGTAGTGAGTACGTGGGTTCAAAACTCGCCGCAGGCGCTCGCCTATACTCTTTTCGCGTGGAATTCTGACAGACTCGGTAAGAACTAGATCAGAACCGTCAGTGTATCTACATGGAGTTGTTCAACAGCACTCTGAAATATCAGTGTCGTAAATCTATACACTTTTTCTTGTAAGGGTCAATGGAAAAGCCACTCTGGTAAAAAAGGGTGCATAAGAAAACCCACCCTTATAGTGTCATAAGGGTGAATCACCCTTATATCAAGAGGCCTGGTGGGAGATGCTGAAATCTGTAGTGCATGACTGTGGTGTCTATCATTGCAGAATAACCTTTGAAAGATAATGCATAGATTCGACCATATCAATTGGACTGCCCGGGGACACCAACAACCTGGTTCTTCCTCATCTCCCAATACCGCCACCTTATCTTATCCACCTTTTGCAGCTTCTCACACAATGCTACAGCTGCATCCGTGCATGAGATAGCAGCACTATCACCAGCACCATCCTGGCTCAACCCTAACACCTTACCCACTTTATCAGACATGCAACCCCGACCAAGCACTGACAGCAGAGTCGCTAACGCATGAACACACTCCGGCTCACTTGCCAGCACATCCATGCAGATTCCAAGAAGCCTCAGATCCCCTTCCTTACCCACACCTTCTGCTTCTTTTTCCAGCAGGCGAATCAGCCCTTGGAGATACCGCCAAGGGCTCTCATTGGACGGAGCAAGCCAGATGGCGGTCACTGCAAACGTCACCTCATCCTCCACTGTTACTGGTGTAACCCTAATTTCGGAATCCTTCTCCTGATTGGCTCCTCCTCCCACATGTTCTGCTCCCTGCTTCTGCTTCGCTATAAGATGCTCCAGTACAAACATTCTGTGGTTCCATGCTGAGTTGTTGCGCACATCATCATCCAACAGCTTCTCACAGAACGTCAGCTCACCATGCCACGTGTCAAATTCCCTCGCCACCCACTGCCTGTGACACCACGCGTGGTAGTTCTTTGAATCTCCCCGCAACGCCTCCTCACAGAAGCGGAATTCCTCCTGCGCGACCTCAGTTATCGACCGTAACGGAACTTGCTGTAACGGGGACGGTGAGTTTGAAACGCATTCTTGCTCCTGCTGCTGCTGCTGCTGCTGCTGCTGGTGCTGTTCCATCTGTTCCTGGCGTCTGGTAACCCTATCTTTGCGAAGAGAAGCCAACCACCGGCGATGGTGCCACACCTGATAATTTTTGGGATTCGATAGAGTCACATTTTCGGCGTAAAGTACCTCATCCTGAACCAGCCAATCCCCTTCATCCCCTCGATTCTCATCCGCTGACGTGGACGAGGGCTTCGATGTCGTGGCCTCCGGTTCCGCTAACGACAGCAGATGCGTGAGAACGTCTCGACGGAGCTGCCAGGCGGTGTAGCTAGCGGCGTTGACGGAGATAACGCGCTCCGTCAAGCGCAAGACGCGCGCGCTGCGCTCGCCGGACGCGAGAACGGCGCGCATGAAGCCCATGGCGTCGTCGAACTCGCGCGAATACGCGATCGGCACGACGGGATCCGGACCGTCGTCCTGCGGTAATGGCTCCACGTCAGCCCAGTCGTCGCTGTCCCTCAGAAGCTCCATGTCGATTCGAATCTCGATTTCTCAGTTATTGATTCGCGAATCGCGACACGGCTCGATCGAGTGGGGTTAAAGCGCGCCTAACCAGCGGGACCGGCAATCAAACACTCGCGAAAGTAGAATAACGGACGTAGGCCTCGGTCTTCTTAGACGACAGAAACATGGATGTCTAAGAAGATACAAGCCAGCTGGCTTGTCTTGCTTGGTGTGCAGGGTACAGTCGATGCTCAGCCTATCATAAAACATTTGCTTCCCACAATGAAAAATTTAGTCACTCGCGAACGTTTTGCCCGTGAGTGACTAAATTGACCATCGTGCCGATTTCGGGGTACAGTCACCAATTGCGGAAGGAAAACATCTACAGTTCATAAACAACAACGGTTGCCTGTCATAAGAAAAGTTTACCTGGTTATGAAAGTAAAGCCCTTGACTCAATTCACAATGCAATTTCATATTACAGTCACATTTTTGCCCGTGGCGACAAGGGCGAACGTTGCGAACTGCGCAAAACACGTTTCACTCACATGCCGCCCGCCTACCTGGTGTTCTTGAACTGAGCACCGACTGTAATATCGGTTTCTACCCAGGCGCTTTGTTGGATGTATATTGTACCTCGTACGCGCTACGAACAGTGTTACAAAGAAGAGTCGTTTCTTACAACAACTAATTCAGCAGCCAAATCACCACAGGAATGCCTTTATTCTGAATGAAGGCACATGGCTAGACACCATTACAAAACTGAGCGTCACCACTAACTTTCCGAATTAATTAAGCATATGAATAGCACAGAAACCTGCTCAACAAGCTGAGCAGATGATACCCTTATGGAGGACACTAATCCAGACAGTACAATCCAATCAGCCGATTCATAATGCTATGAATACACGTACTCTCCCACACAGTCTGAAGGGACTCTTCCTTCCTTTCCACCAAAACAAACACAGCTGAAGCCTTCTTTCTTGAAACATCAGCTCCTCGAAAGTTCCTCATCCATCAGGGATAAAAGGCTTCTCGAGTTTCAGTCAACAAAGCTACTCTTTTGATATCAACATGTGATTCCTCCCCTGTAGCATGGCGTCTCCTCCTCCTCACGTCCCGTCACTTGAACCTGCCACAGTTGCCGGAGGGAATCGCTTGCTCCTTCCCTCTCAGCTTTAGCAAGCCATCAACCTTGTGAAGGGTCCGCCACGTGCCCCGCCAGGTGCATCTGACTGTCACCATGAGTCTCGGCATGCTGGGTCCTCCTCCTCCTCACACCCGCCCACTTGGGACTCCCACTGTCACCTGTGGGACTGCCTAGCTCCTCCCCTCTCCCCATTTCCCTCCTCTCTCCCCTCTCTCTCCTCTCTATCCTCTCTCCAGCCTCAGCCCCCTCTCTACCACCCTCAGCCCTACTCACTCCCTCTCTACCGCCCTCAACCGCACTCAAACCTTGTTCACCAACCTCAACCTCTCTTACTCCCCCCCCCACTTGCACACCCTGCCCACTCACCATCAATCTTCTCCTCGTCCCAAACTCCTCTCCTCCTTCCCCACCTCCTCCTCCCACCCCCCCACCACCACCTCTTCCTACCTCTCCCCCTCCTCCCCTCCTCCGCCTCTCTCCCCCCCCACCTCCTCCTCCTATCCGTCTCCTTTTTCCTCCTTCCCCTCGTTTCCCTCTTGCTCCTCTTCCCCCTCGCCCCCTGCCCTCGTCCTCACTGGAGAAGATCCAATCCTCCCCATCATTCGCGTTCACCAGGTCTCTATAATTCCGCTCCCTCCTCTTCCTGCCGCTGCGCCTCACTCCTGTGGGCGTCCCTTCATCTGCTGATGCATCAGCATCAGCAGCAGCTGCTGGAGCAGGTGCAAAACCTGCACTAGCACGAACAGGTGAAGCAGCAGCAGGAACAGCAGTAGCAGCAGCAGCAGCAGCAGCAGTAGCAGCAGCAGCAGCTACTGCGTCTGGAGCTGCAGCAGCAGCCGCCTCACCAACCCCGCTTCTTCTTTTCCTCGAACCCGAACCCGAAGGAGGGGAGGAAACAACTGAACGTGCCGCTTCTCCTCCCTCCCACCTCCCATTCTCACCCTCCTGCTGTTGCCTACCCAGTCCCACCCTTCCTCTCCCTTCCGTCTTCCGTCCTCCTTCTGCCTTCCTCCTCCCTTCTTCCCCACTCTTTCTTTCACCCTTGCGCTTCCCTGCCTCCCCTCCTTTCCGCACACTCCTCTGTGTTCCTCTGCTCCGTGCACCTTGTGACCCCTTTTTGCTCTTCCTTTTCTTGCCTTGAGATCCCACCACATACTCCTCTTCTTCCTCCTCTTCCTCCTCTTCCTCCTCCTCTTCCTCTTCCTCTTCACCCTCCTCCTCTTCCTCCACCACCCCGTTTTCCTCCTCTTTCTTTCCAGTCCCCCCTTCTCTCTCCTCTCCTTCTACTAGCCTCGCAGTATGCTCCTTCACCCCAGGTACCTTCTCCTTCTCTATACCAGAAGAAACAACAACACTCTTGACATGACTTTTGTCCAATTTTCCTCCCTTTTCATCCTTCCCTCTCTTCTCCTTTGCCCTTACCCTCTCGTGTCCTCTCCCCTTCTCGTCTGGTACCCTCCCTGCCATCCCTATTTCCCTCCTCTCTCTCTCTACCCTCTCCTCCTCTTCCTCATAATACACCACCTCTCCCTCCACATCCCCAATGCTGTCCTCGTTATTAGCATCACCCGTACCAGCATTAGCTTCAGGAGCACCATTAGCAGCAGCACCGTCAGCACCACCATTAGCAGCAGCGGTAGCAGCACCACCACCATCCCCACTGCTAGCACCAGTACCGCCACCATCACTTTTACCACCACCAGCACTTAGGCCACCACCAGCACTGGTTTCCCTACTCTCAACACCATTGGCCTCAATATTCGCACCCTCAACTTCCACACCCTTTGATTTCCCTGTTTCTCCTCTCCTCTTTGCTCTAGAACCGATTTGCTCACCCCTCTTGTCACCGGTTGTTAATTCCTGCCCTGCCACTTCTTTCACCTGCCCTTCCTCTGCTTTCACCTGCCCAGGCTCTCCTTTCCCCTGCCCGTTCCCTTCCTCCATACCTCCTTCCCCAACCCCTTCCTCCCGCCTCTCCTCCTCCCCTTCCTCCTCCAAGATATCAACATAGCTCCGCTTTTTCTTCGGTCTGTGCCTGATAAGCAGCAATGGGAAGGAGAGGGAGATGAAGGGGTTGAAACGGAGTAGACTTTTGAGGCGCCTCAAGGCTCCGCTTTTTCTTTGGTCGGTACCTGATAAGCACCAATGGGACGGAGTGGAAAGGGATGAGAGGACGTAAGATATCAGCGTAACTCTGCCTAACCTTCCGCCAGTGCTTGGCAGGCAGCAGCAATGGAAAGGAGCGGGAGTGAAACGAGGTAAAACAACTCAAACTCGACCGCGTTGCATCGCATCAGGCATCTCTTTCTCCCCGTCCTCCTCCAAAAATTCGGCACAGTTCCGCCTTTTCTTGAGCCGGCGCCTGATAGGCAGCAATGGGAGGAGTGGGAAGAGATGAAAGGGCGCAGAAGGGTGTTGAAAGGTTTGTGAAAAGGAATTAAAAGACACCCACCTGAGCAACCGCAAGGGCTGGATATCCGAGGCCAACCCAGGCTTCACTCTGTCACACTTGCCACTCTCCACTCCTCTGTTTGCTGTACGCACTCCTTCAAATCTGAGGGGCAGCACGTGAGGAGAGAGGAGAGCCCACCTGAGCAACCGCAAGGGCAGGATATCGGAGGCCAACCCAGCCTTCACTCTGTCAGACCTGTCCCGCTCCCCCCCTCCTCGCCCGTTCGCTGCATGCACTCCTTCAGCCTTCCCCTCCTTCCCCTCTTTCTTCTCTTTCTTCTCCTTCTTTCCCTTCTTCTCCTTCTTCTCCCTCCCCTCCCTCCCCTCTCTCCCCTCCTTCCTTCGCAAACTTCCACGGGTATCCCGCTTCACCCCTCCCAATCCCTTCCTACTCCCTTCCTCCTCCCCTGCCTCTGCCTCCTCCTCCTCTGCGCTCCAATCCTCTTCCCCACTCTTCCATCCATCCTCCACGCCCCTCCCCTCCTCCCCACTCTCCTCCTCCCCACTCCCCTCTTCTTTAAACGACACACCATCAGGACGCCTCCCTCCCCACCTAGTCCTTGCACTCACTCTACCATCCCCCTTCACTCCACCATCCCCCCTCACTCCACCATCCCCCCTCACTCCACCATCCCCCCTCACTCCACCATTCCCCCTCACTCCACCACCCCCTTCCTGCATCCCCTCATTCCCACCCAATTCCCCTCCCACCACGCCACCGCCTGTTCTCCTGAGCCTTCTCCTTCCATCCCCTTCCTCTGCCACTAAGCCAGTCACAACGGATGGCTTTTGAGTCGACTCAAAAGCCACCAAGCCAGCGCCTTTTCTCCTGAGCCTTCTCTTTCCATCCCCTTCCTCTGCCTCTAATCCACTTTCATCTGCTGCCCTCCTCAATACAGCTTCAGTTTTTCTTCTCTTCTCCTTCCTTCTTCTCCCCCCACCCTCATCCACTCCCCCATCCACTCCCCCATCCGCTCCCTCCTCCATTTGTTCCCTCACGCTCGTCCCCAATCTCACTCCCTTCCCTCCGCCCGTCGCTTCTCCCTTCCTCGGCTCTCTTTGACCATCCTCGTTATAAGCGTCTTCATCACCACCACCATCCTCTTCCTGCTTCTTCTTCTCAAGCCCATACTCTTCCTCCCTCTCCCCTTCGTCCTCACCCCCCTCCTCTGCCTCCTCCGCCGTCCTTTCTCCCCTCTCTTCGTAACTCTCCACCTTCTTTCCCTCACTTTCCGCTTCTTCCCTTTCCCCTTCCTCTTGGCCCCCCCCTTCGCCCTCATCTTTCCCCAACACTCCATCCTCGTTATAATCACCCACATAGCCTCCTTTTCGCCGCTTCCTTCCCTCCCCTCCCGATCCCTTCAACCACTCATCCAATGCCCCATCCTCCTCTCGCCGTCCCTCCCTCAGTTGTCTCTTCCTTAGCCTCTGCTCCTCTCCATCCTTCCTTTCCGCCTCTGCTCTTCCCTCTCTCCCCTCCTTCCCTTCTCTGCTCTCAGTGCCACCACTCTCTCTTCTCTCCCCTTTCACCCTTAACTTCCTAACCTCTCCTTCCTCTTCTTCCCCTTCACCCCCACTCTCCCGCTCCTTGTCCCCCTCATCATACTCCTCTCCCTCCTCCCCTCCTTCTCCCCGCCCCCTCCCCTCCTCTCCTCCTTCCTCCCTCCTCTCTTTCCGTGCCCCCCCATTCTCATCACCATCACTCCCATCCCCTGTATTATCACCACTCTCGTTCCAATCACCATCACTACTATCACCATCATTACTATCACCCTCCTTACCATCGCTCTTGCCTCCCTTCTCTTCCATCTCTCCTTCCCCATAAGAACCTTCCCCACTGCACCCTACCCCCAAACCGTCTTCCTCTTCTCCTCTTTCTCCTCCCTCTTCTCCTTTCCCTTCTCTTCCTTCTTCTCTTTCCCCTTCTTCTCCTCCTCCTTTCTCTTCTCCCTTTTCTCTCTCTCCCTCCTCACCCTCTCCTCCCCTCTCTCCTCCCACACCCCCTTCCCCTCCTCCATCCCCCCCAACACCACTACCAACCGCATCGCCGCTAGCAGACAAAACGCGCCGCCCTGCCAGCTGTCGGAGGCCCTCGCGAGTGGGGGCGTGCTCGGGGGGAAGCTCACGAGATTTGGAAGGTAGTGTGATGGCATCGTTGATAGAACGATCAAAGTCGTCTGAAGGGACACAAGGGATGGGGGGAAGGGGAGAGGACGGGGAGAAAGGGGAAGAGGAATGGAAGGATCAGTTAATGGGATTTGGAAGGTAGTGTGATGGCATGGTTGGTAGAGCAATCGAAGTCGTCTGAAGGGACAGGAGAAAGAGGGGGGGGGGGGCGAAGGAGGAGGAACGGAAGGGATTTGGAAGGTAGTGTGATGGCATTGTTAATAGAACGATCAAAGTCGTCTGAAGGGACAGAAAGGATGGGGGGAAGGGAGATGGGCGGGGGCACAGGGGAAGAGGAAAGGGAAGTGGATGGGATGGGAACGGGCAAGAGGAAGGTGGTGAAGAGACATTGCCCAGGCACAGACACGAGATACTTTGAAGTCGACTCAAAAGTCACCTCAAGAGGAAGGTGGTGAAGTGACGTTGACTAGACGACACAGTAACGAGGTTCTTGAATCAACTGATGAGATATGGGAGGTAGCGTGGCAATGGCTGCATCGTCAATAGACAAATCTCATCAGCTGATAACGCGAGACTCTGGATTCAACTCATGGACAGGCCTACCAAAGGTGTAGGTGACTGGTTTCCTCGACGTTGCAGGGAGTTTTTGAGAATTCTCAAAAACTCCCTGCATCATCAGCTGATAACACGAGACTCTGGATTCAACTCATGGACACACCTACCAAAGGTGTAGGTGACCGGCTTCCTCTCCCGTGTAGAAAGTAGATTTTTGAGACGTCTCAAAAAGACTCTGGATTCAACTCATGGACAGACCTACCGAAGGTGTAGGTGACCGGCTTTCTCTCCCGCCTCGATCGACCCAGAGCCATCCCCTCGCCGTACCCCCCTGGCGCTCAGGACAGCACCCCACAGCCATCCCCTCCCCAAACCCCCCCACAGCAATGCAAGATGCACGCACCGAAGGTGTAGGTCACGGGTTTCCTCTCCCGCCTCGATCGACCCAGAGCCAGCCCCTCGCCGTACCCCCCTGCGTACTGCCCCGCTGCTGCCATGGCTGCTGCTAGCTGCGCTGCCAGCTGCGCCGCCTGCCTCTGCTGCCTCTTCGCATGCCGCTCCTTGCGCTGTTGATAGGAGAAATAAGAGGAGAAAGAAACGAGAAGAACATGGGAGATGGCAGAAGTTGGGTTCAACAGTAGCTGCCAGCTAGGCTGCCAGCTGCGCCGCCTGCCGGGCCGGGTGTTTTTGAGAATTCTCCAAAAACACCCTGCAGTAGCTGCCAGCTGCCAGTTGGGTTCAACAGTGGCTGCCAGCTGCACCGCCTGCTGCTGCTGCCTCTTCGCATGCCGCTCGCTGCGATGGTGGTGTGGGCAGAGGAGAGGTGAAGAGAAGAGAAGGTAAAACAGGGAAAGGGTTCGAGTGTGACAGTGGCTGCCACGTGAAGAAAGGAGTGTTTTGAGACGTCTCAAATCACTCCGTTTTTTAAAAACAGGGAAAGGGTTCGAGTAGGGATGAGCAAGTGGCGAACACGAACGTGTTCGTGTTCGCCCCTACACGAACACCTTCGTTTGCCGAACCGAACACTGTTCGGTTCGGCGAACACTTTGAGCAAAAAATGGTGTTCGCCGTTCGCCTGTGAAGGCGTGTTCGGGCGAACCTCGAACACTGTTCGTGTTCGTCGCGGGCAAATTGCAGCAGCGGCCCGAACACGAACGTGTTCGGGCGAACATCGAACACTGTTCGGCGAACATTTTAAGCCAAAAAAAAAAAACCTGTTCGGTTCGCCTTGAACGTGTTCGAGGCGAACCGAACAGGTGTTCGTTTTTTTGCTCAACCCTAGGTTCGAGTGTGACAGTGGCTGCCACGTGAAGAAACGAGTGTTTTGAGACGTCTCAAATCACTTCCGTTTTTTAAAAACAGGGAAAGGGTTCGAGTGTGACAGTGGCTGCCACGTGAAGAAAGGAGTGTTTTGAGACGTCTTAAATCACTCCGTTTTTTAAAAACAGGGAAAGGGTTCGAGTGTGACAGTGGCTGCCACGTGAAGAAAGGAGTGTTTTGAGGCGTCTCAAATCACTCCGTTTTTTAAAAACAGGGAAAGGGTTCGAGTGTGACAGTGGCTGCCACGTGAAGAAGGAGTGTTTCGAGACGTCTCAAATCACTCCGCTTTTTTAAAACAGGGAAAGGGTTCGAGTGTGACAGTGGCTGCCAGCTGCGCCACCTGCCTCTGCTGCCTCTCGCTCCTTGCGCTGGTGGGGGTACAGAAGAGGGGTGAACGGAAGTGAAGAGAGAGGGTTTCGGGTACAAACTTAGCTGCTAGCTGCGCTGCCAGCTGCGCCGCTTGCCTCTGCTGCCTCTTCGCATGCCACTCCTTGTGCGGATGGGGGAAGGGGAGAGCAGGGAAAAAAAGAGAGAGGCGATACGAGTATGTGGCAGAAAGCAAGGAGTTGGATACAAGTGTGCCATGCATTTTCTAGGCGCCTAAAAAATTGAGACGAGACAAGTATGTAGCAGAAAGCAAGGAGTTGGATACAGCTGTGCCATGGCTACTGCCTGCTGTGCTGCCTGCCACTGCTGCCTCTTTGCATGCTGCTCCTTGTGCTGGTGTGAGGAGGCATGAAAGGAGAGGGAGAGGGAAGAGGGAGGTGAGTGGTTGAAATAACATTAGCATGTGATTGAAAAATGAGTGAGAGTGAGAGTGACAGTGAGAGTGCGCGGGTGAAAGAACAATCCCGTCCCTCCCTCCTCACCTTCTCTTCTAGCTCCACTTTAGGTATGGCCTCCTCTGCCAAGCGATCCGCTATAAGCTGATCCGCGTTATGCACACTGGCGCTGAGGTCGTCCTGCAGATACAGGCACGCCAAGGAAGGCAGCGGGAGGGAAGAAACTCATATAAGCTGATCCGATTTTGTATTAGAAAACAGGTATAAACTGATGTTCTAAGTCCAATAAGCAGTCATATCATCCAGTGAAATTGGCTTCAAGTCTGGAGTAAACTTTTGAGATGCACAAAATAAAACTCAATACAGTTAACGAAAAGCACAGCACACTCAAAGCTCCAACCAAGTACCAGCTAACTCACCCGCGAGAGCAGTGAAGTCTGTGAGACACACAGCAGCAGTGGCGAACTTCGCCACACACAGGTGGCAGGAACACCAGCCGGGCCAATATTGAGGTCCTTGAAAAGGGATCTCCTCAGAGTGAAGTGACTCACCGCGAGAGCAGTAAAGTCTGTGAGACACACAGCAGCAGTGGCAAACTCGCCATGCACAGGTGGCAGGAAAAACTGGCCTGGCCTTCTTCTTCGCACTTAAAGGACGCAGTTCTGCAGACTCACCGCGAGAGCTGTGAAGTCTGTGAGGCAGACGGCCTGCAGTGGCGAACTCGCCACACACAGGTGGCAGGAAAACTGGTTTGGCCTTCTTCTTTGCCTTCCTCCTCCCCTCCCCTCCAGCAGCAGCAGCAGCATCGGCTCCTCTCCCCTTCTTGCTGCCACCCTTGGTGGGAGTGCCCTTGGAAGCAGGCTTGGCAGCAGGCTTGGGAGCAGGGTTTGGAGGCGGAAGGAGGGCGGAGACTGCCGGACCTGGTTCGCGTGCTCATGCCATGGCGAGTAGGACGGGCCGCTCGAATCTGCCTTGGCAGCAGAGTCTGCCTTACCAGCAACAACCGAGGCCTTTCCAGCAGCAGCGGGTGCCTGAGGGGTCTTAGCAGGTTCAGCTGAGCCGCCTTGAGCAGGCATGCAGGGATCTGCGTCAGTTAAGTCAATCACAGCAGCATCCCTTCTCCTCTTCCTCCTCCTTCCGTCTCCTCTCTCCCTCCTTCACCTCCTTCACCTCCTTCACCTCCTTCACCTCCTCCTCTTCTTCTCCCTCGTATCTCCACGCTCTTCACCCACACCAACGCCACCTCTATTGCTTCTCTTCTTCTCCTTTCACCTCCCTCTTGCCCCCCTCCCCACGCTCACAATCCTTCCTACCCGCCTCCCTGCCACCTCGCCTCCTGTAAACCCTCTCATTCTCCTTCGCTCCGCCCCTCTCCTCACAAGCACCTTATCCTCTTCGTCTCCCTTTTTACCCTTTCCTTCCTCTTCCGCTTTTACCCCCTTGCTCCTTCGCTCCTACCCCACTTTCCTCTCCTCCTCTCCCCTTCACTCCCCCCTCCTCCTCCTCCTCCTCAGCCTTCACCCCGACTAAAGCCTTCAATCCACCGATAGCGGCTAGGCCGCTCATAAAATCCCTTATCTCCTTGCGACTCTTTACCATTTCCTCGCAAGAACTCCCTATGGTTCCCACGTGATAAACCCTTATTGTCGGGACTCCCAATAGGCGACTTTAGAATCAATTCAACACCAGTTGCACACGACTTCACATCACCACAATCTGGTTACCACACTGATCGCTGTAACGCTGTCAGCAGCAGAGACTTCGAGAGTGGAATTGGGTGGTGGTTCAGATTGTAGGGGATCGGATGCTGGTGTTGGGCTAACGGACGGCTCAGATGCTCCAGCTTTGCCAGATGGGGCCTCCTTGGCCGCTGATGCATTATCCACCATCAGCAGCAGCACCGTCAGCAGCAGCAGAGCAGCAGGCAGCTGCACCATCAGAAGCAGCAGCAGCAGTAGCAGCAGCGCTGGTAACATCAGCGCTAGTAGCAGGGCTGTGTGGCAGGCACATCAGCTTCAGCACTAGCAGACACCCTTGCAATATCTGCTGTCGCTGCCTTAGCTGCCTTTTCTGCCCCTGCCACCTCTGCCACCTCTGCCGCCTTTCTGCCTCTGCACCACTGCCATATCTGCTACCTGTGCTACCTCTGCCACCTCTGGCCGCTCTGTTGCTGCCTCTGCTGCCCCTGCCACTTCCTCACTTCTGCGGCGCACGAGGCATGAGAGGCAGTGGCGACTGTGTGATCATCAGAGCTTCTGGCCGGTTGAGTGGGCTCATCAGCTTCTATTTCAGCTTCAGCTTCAGCTTTAGCAGTACTATTGTCAGCAATTTTTCCAGCCCCCGCCTTTGCTCCTTCCACCATCGCTGCCACTGTCTCTGCAGGGAACAGTGGCGTCTGTGTGATCATCGACGCATTCGGGCCGATTGAGTAGGCTCAGCAGCTTCTGTTTCAGATTCAGCTTCCACTTTAGGCAGCACCTCGGCAAGCACCTTTTGCAGCCTCCGCCTTTGCTCCTTCCACCATCACTGCCACCGCCCTCTCCATTAACAGCAGCAACTTCTGTTTTAGCTTTGTCGTTACCCAACACTTGTGGCAGCATCTCTTGCACTCTCTGCCTGTTGCTCCTTCCACCACCAGTGCTACGGTTTCTGCAGGAGAAACAGCAGTAGAATCAGCAGCAAGTGCAGGAACAGCCGCGCTAGCAGCAACAGCAGCAGCAGCAGCAGCTTCAGCCGCTTCAGCTTCAGCAGCAGCAGCGGCTGCGGCAGCAGTGGCGGCAGCGGCGGCGGCAGCAGCGTCAGCCTCTTCCTGTGTGATGAAAACGTGTGGGCCCTCTTTGAACAGCCGATGGCCCAACACAGAGTCGTTGCAAAACCTGCAGGATGGAAGTTGGGCACAAGAAAAAGCAGAGTCAGCAGCAGCATCAGCCTCTTCCTGTGTGATGAAAACGTGTGGGCCCTCTTTGAACAGCCGATGGCCCAACACAGAGTCGTTGCAAAACCTGGAGGATGGAAGTTGGGCACGAGAAAAAGCAGAGCCAGAAGCAGCATCAGCCTCTTCCTGTGTGATGAAAACGTGTAGGCCCTCTTTGAACAGCCGATGGCCCAACACAGAGTCGTTGCAAAACCTGGAGGATGGAAGTTGGGCACAAGAAAAAGCAGAGTCAGCAGCAGCATCAGCCTCTTCCTGTGTGATGAAAACGTGTGGGCCCTCTTTGAACAGCCGATGGCCCAACACTGAGTCGTTGCAAAACCTGACGGCAGGGAGTTGATGGGGAGAGGGAAAAGCAGAATGGGATGGGAGTTAAGCACAAGAAAAGGCAGGAGTCAGCAGCAGCAGCGGCAGCAGCGTCAGCCTCTTCCTGTGTGATGAAAACGGGTGGACCCTCTTTGAACAGGCGATGGCCCAACACAGAGTCATTGCAAAACCTGAATGTTGACAAGTACGATTGAAATTGGGCACAACATAACACAAGAAACGAAGAGTCAGCAGCAGCAGCAGAAGCAGCAGCAGTGTCAGCCTCCTCTTGTGCGAAACGATAGAAAGGTGGGCCCGCCCACTTTGGACAGGTGGTGACCGAGTCACCCAGGACAGAATCGTTGCAGAACCCCGAATACAAGGAACCTCAACTCGCATTTTTCTATGATGGACTGCACCGCACTTCACCGCATTTCACCACGATGCACCCACCAGAACACGTGGTTGTTGGCGTCGATGCCAAACGGCTCCATGCGAATCTCCTCGGGATTCCTTTTCATGGCCGCCTCTACCACCACTCGCGTGTCCTCTTGCTGTGTGGTGGGGATGGGTACAGCAGGGTCCGAGAGGGATACAGAGGGGCTAGAGGATAAGCCACCAATCTCCTCAAGGTTCCTCTTCATGGCCGCCTCTACACCACCACCACTCGAGTGTCCTCTTGCTGCGCGGTGGGGATGGGTACAGCAGGGTCCGAGAGGGAGCCAGGGGATAGGGCAGCAATCTCCTCGGGATTTTTTTTCATGACCGCCTCTACCACCACTCGCGTGTCCTCTTGCTGTGCAGTGTGGGGACGGGGATAAGTAGAGAGGTAGAGAGGAGTGGAGAGGAGTTAATAAGCCACCAATCTCATCGGGATTCCTTTCATGGCCGCCTCTACCACCACTCGAGTGTCCTCTTGCTGCGTGGTGAGGGGGGGGGGGGGGGG